CGGAGCTGGCAGCTCTGCAGGGGGCCGGAATCGTCGGGACTGCATAGGTGGCCCGTCTGAACGCCCTTACGCTTCTGCTTTTCTGGGCTAATTAAAAGGCGAAGTGCGTTTTCAGGCCATTGTTTTGTTTCATAATAGGTTGAGCCTTCTGATACTATAGAAAATGTAAAAGCTAAGATCCAGGATAAGGAGGGTAAGTTAAAAATACAGCTATTATTCTCTTCTCTGTTGCATTGATGTGTATCTTCCACAGATGTGACTGTGTGCTGTAACCTGTTTTATTATGGAATGCCATAGTTCACGTTCCTCACTTAATCTTAATTGATGTCACCATTAGGCATTCCTCCTGATCAGCAGCGACTGATTTTTGCTGGTAAGCAGCTCGAAGATGGACGCACACTGTCTGACTACAACATTCAGAAGGTGAGTAGGAAAGGCTGAACGGGGTGGCGTAGTACCAACTAGCTGGTGCTATTGGAGCAGGCTGACGTTTGCTGCTGCTGGGCCCAAAAATGCTTCAAATGGATTCAATTCCATTTGAACCAAATCAAATTGGTTTAGGGTTGGGCAGCACTTCTGACTGGGGAAGTACTGATAAGACAGAATTCTTGCAGCCCAGGCTGCAGTTTCAGGCCAGAAGAAAACATTTCTAACAGCTTTCACTTCCAGGGCTTTCCCTCTGTCAGCCCTGGCACTTGGCACACTGGGTGGTGAGCTTGCTTTCGAGGGCTAATGTGAAAAATCCTGCTGACCTCTGCCAGATAAACCCAATGGGCCAGTGAGTACCCCTACGAAGAAGTGACAAATAGCTCTCAGTTTGGCTTAGTGACAGCAGGAAGCTGTTCTGCAATTGAGTTAGAACTGAGGAATATAGTCACAACAGATCTTACAGTAATTGAACGTTTTGGGGTTTGGATGCAGCAGCCCACTGCTCTTTGGAGCAGGTTAATAGAGAATAATCCTTTTAGAGCTTTCCTAATTGACTGGCGCTTGAGATGTACTTTTCATAGATAAAAGCCTGCTTAAAGGCAGCTCTTAGCTTGAGAATGCATTTTGAGCCTATTTTATGTGCTTTACAAATAGGAATCAACTCTTCACCTTGTGCTAAGACTTCGTGGTGGTGCCAAGAAAAGAAAGAAGAAGTCTTACACTACCCCCAAGAAGAACAAGCATAAGAGAAAGAAGGTTAAGCTTGCAGTGCTTAAGTACTACAAGGTATGTAGAACTAACTTTGGAATTGTCTTGATGAAAACCTAGTTCTCACCAGGAAAGACATGTAACACCTGGTGTATTTATAAGTCCTTCTCTTTGCATGCAAATATCCCACCTGTTAAATAGAAAACAACTCCTGCAATGGGGATATTCTGAACTTTGCTTTGAGAAGTTTGGTGTAGTAACTACCATGAAAAATACTCATAATTGGTGCTAAAAGGTGGCAAATACGTAAGAGATTTTTCCCTCTTTGCCCTTCCCAGGTGGATGAGAATGGCAAGATCAGTCGTCTGCGCCGTGAGTGCCCCTCTGAGGAGTGTGGAGCTGGAGTCTTCATGGCCAGTCACTTCGACAGACACTATTGTGGCAAGTGCTGTCTGACATACTGCTTCAATAAACCAGAAGACAAGTAAATGTACTAGACAATAAAAGTCTAAGCTTCTGTTCAGTTTAAGGATTTATTTCTGCTTCGTGTCACACTGTATCTCCTCTCTGCTGAAAAGCGAGAAAATCCGAAATTTTGGATGCTCACTGCCAACTAGGATGAAATAGTTTGAATCTAGAACTGAAGCAGCAACTTCTTTTGAAAGTTGCTCTGGTTAGCTAAGTCTCCTTCAAAGCAGATAATGGGTAGTACTGGCAGAGAAAAAAAACCAAACACACCACTCCATCTAGCCCTAGAAGTAGTCTTTCGAAACATGAGTAGACAATGCAGTAGTTCTAATCTGGAAAAATAGAAGATAAAGAGGTCTGAAGTCATGTTACAGGTGATTCAATGCTAGAGAAAAGGGTGGGAGAGTCCTGCTAACAAAATGCAGACTACGCACTGAAAAATTATATAGCAGCACTGAGGGGAACAAAGAAGATGGTGCCCCTGTTTTGGAACCAATAGAAAATCATCAGAAATATTTACACCATCCTGGTTTTGCACACTTAAAGGGATTAAAATTGTACTTTAATCCATGTTCCAATGAGGTAAGCTGGTTGCTTGACATGACTTAAAAGCAGAACATTGTTACATAACCATCAGATACGCAGAAACTCATGTCCATCTCTGAAAGTTCATTTAATGTTAAGAGTTGAAGGCCAGCCAGGAATAATACATGTCCTTTAGTGTTAATGTATTCAAATGCATTTTAAAATCCTGGATCCCAGGACGTTGTCTGCTGAACTTCTTTTTCTTCATAACAGATAATTTCATCTCCAATACTGAATTCCATATACTTGTCCAAACTCAATCCACAATCCATACCCGTTTTTATTACCGGGACATCATCTTTGTGATGCTTCAGTGATGATAAAGATCCTACAAAGACAAAGTGCATCAAAGAGAGCCCGCTAACATCACAGCAAAGAAAGAAGTGTTTTGGTTTGCCCTTAAAGAATGTTTTGTCTGGCAGATGCAAAATGAAAGCAACAAAATGTAGGGATCATAAGTGCTTGGAGCTAACAAAAGCCAGAGTAATTTTTGGCAGGTAAATCTGGTGTTGTGTTAGTGCTTTCCTACCCAAGTTGGCTAGAAAAGGGTGTGGGTAACAGTACAGTGCCGTTGTGCAGCATTTCTCTAGTTGGGGCAACTCAATAAATCCTAACAACTGGTAAATACCAAACAGGATTGCTTAGTGCTCTGATGCACGTTGTGCACTTCACAGGGAACCAGCAGTGTAATACTGAACACCAATACATGTTTCACAGCAGTTACGCTTACCTTTCCAAATAACATCCCTGTTGCGGATTAGCTTAAATTTCATTTTTTTGTCTAGCAGGCCCTTGTGCACTCTGCATCCAGCTACTGGAATTTTGTTCTTTCCTGCTGTTACAAAGAAGATGTCGAGAACAGAAGCTTCCCCTAAAAGAGAAAAGTGAAGCTGTATTAAGTACATGAGAATAACAAATAAGTAGAGCCAGGCTACATTCTGCCACTTGCCAAGCTTTAGAATAAAAGAGAAAAGCAGCTACAGAGCAATATAAAATACTTGACAGAAGAGAAATATTTAATCAGAGAATAAAGTTTAAGGCCCCATTGCAAAGTAAAAGTTGAACCATCAGTGAAAACTCACCTATGGTAGTCTCCACCACAGATGGGGGTAGTCTGCTATTTAGCTCATCTTTCAAGTCTTCAATAAGTTTGTAGATGATGTTGTGAAGTTTAATTTTTATTCCCTTTTTAGCAGCCAGATCTTTAATACTTTGATTGGCTTTCACATTGAATCCAAATACAACACCTGATAAATAAAACAATTGGCAAGTGATGATGACTCTGCAAACAGTAAATGAAAGCATCTGCTGTGTCTATTTTGTTACGTTGACCTTGCAGCAAACCAAAAACCAGCATTTTACCTCTGCTTCCAAGGAGGGACCACTTACTTCTCCCACTATTGCCCATCAACTGCTACTAACCTTGAACCATAACAAATGGCTCAAAAAAACCCCTGTAGACAAGTTCCCTGATGACAGAACTGCCATTATCAAAGCAGAAACTAATGCTTACATGCTGTTCCCCACAGCTTTGGTAAAGGGACAAAGACCTCCCATTACTGGGCTGGAAAAGCAGCTTGGTTGTCCAACTTAAGCTGGAAGTGAACTCTAATACATCATTCTCATCCACCCACGGACTATGGCAGATCCAAGGACCACGCAGAATCTCCAACTGGTGAGAATTAAGGGGCACCAACAGGAACAATAACTGACACAGTCTTTCCAATCACCTCCCTGAGCAATGGGAAATTCTTTCATAACCTACTTTTCTAGTTTTGTCCCGTTTGAGAAAACAAAACCAGGAGACCTACCCACTTCAATAAAGATTTTGTACTAATTGTAAATGGGTTTTTAGACACACTCACCGTTAAATGGTTCAGCAAGACTTATATCAGTTTCACTGATGTCTCCCATTCCAAAATGAATGATATCTAATTTACATTCATCGTCGGCATCATAGCTGTCCAGAATGTTCAGAATAGCTTCAACAGATCCATCCACATCACCTGCATGTGTAAATGGAAGCACTACTGACTTGGTGTACGTCAAAGAAACACTGAAGTGGAACGAAGGGCACGACCACACTACGCAACATAAAGGTCTTTTGACATCTATCACTGTTACCGTATTTTCAGTAGTAGGTTAAATCACATCTAAAAAGTCTATTAATTCTGAAAATGAACTGAATAAATACAATAGGACCAGAGGCTCCACATCTGCTGACATTTTCAAGTCAAGTTGTTACAGTTTTTCAGCTACTGCCATCACTGCTTGTGTATGATTAAACGTGAGGGCAAACCAAGTCCCTTCCATCTCACTTTAATGCCTAATTGTTCTTGTCCTCCTTTTTTTTTTTTAATATCTATTCTTAAATTTATATATATAGGCTCTTTTACGGGTTTACTCAGGAGTTCCTGGGTAAAAGGGCTGGGCTCAAATTTTCCTGTTGCTCAGGCCTTGCTCGATATGCATCCTTCTGATCAGAGGATATTTTCTGATGGACCTTCCTCTTACAGAGAGAAGTTCAATAACCCGTTCAGTTTTAAACTGATCAAACTTCTGGTACAGAAATTTTATTAATAGTTCAGAGCCCGAGCATTTGAAAAGCACAAAGGCAATGGAGCTGTAAACAGAATAGGACAGCACCTTTAACAATTAATGACAGAGTGTTTTCGTCCACCTCGGTTCTCTCTTTAGGCTTTGAAAACATGAGATGCTTATTGGTCTTGTACAGCACCGCCTTCCTCTGTCTCCAGGACAGATGGGCAAACTTCTGTTGCTGCTTCTGATATTCCATCCTGTGTTCCTTCTGCTTTGCTTCAATAACTTCCACGTCCCTTTTCATCTTCTCCTGTTGTTCAACATAGGTTCTCCAAGCCATGACTTCATGCGCCCTTTGCTGCACAGGAAGACAGAAATATAACTTTATGAACACTGCATCAGAAAATGCGACACATATGTAGTTTAATCCTTCTGCATCTTCTCTACAGGCTCACTCATTTTCTTTCACATTTAACAACAGATTTTGCTGCAAGAACAGTGGACAATGAGTGGGAAATAAAGAGACAATATGCAAATCCTCAGTCCTCTTACAGAAGACTTCACTCAGGTTTCAATACCCACACTCAGCCTTCATCTTTTATCAGACCATCCCAGTTATTTAGAATGAAGGCTATTCCTTTTATTTTGACTTAGCTCTGTTCCACCCACCTTCCTGCACTACAAGTTTTTGATTAAACAGTTCCTTCTGTACCTCAGATTCCACTTCCAGGATTTCATCTCCCGCTGAAGGGACATCTTTCCAGCCCATGATTTCTACAGGGATGCCCGGAGAGGCTGCACTTACAGCTTTGCCATTCTCATCAAACATGAAACGCACTTTTGCCCAGGTCTTCCCTGCAACCAGAACACAGCCTTTTCTCAGAGTTCCTCGCTGGATGATGGCTGTGGTAAGGGGACTAGCAAAGAGCAGAGGAGAAAAATAACAGACAAAACTAACGTGAATCTTTTCCCCGTGTTCACGATTAGCACAGGTAAGCTAACACAAAACAGAATGTACTTGTGATCGACTGCAGGCAGAATATTCTTGTGACACATTTTATGAGAGCACTAATAAAATTTTGAGGCAACTTACAGAAGGCCCCAAACCCGTACTGTACTCTTTTAATTTCTGCAGACCCATGCAAAACTTGGCATTTGTGAAATCAGCAGCAGACTGATTTTACACATTAAGTGACTTCTCATCAAAAAAACCACAAAAAACAAACCCCAACAACTTCCTTGTGTTCAGTTAATTTTTAAAAAGGGCAGAACAAACCTTGTTAAAATTAAGCATTAAAGTATTTTAAAGAGTAAAATGTCATGTGACACACAATTTACCGAAAATAGTAAATATTATGGCTATTAACTTCACTACTCTTATTTTTTAATGATATTTTAAAAAATACATCTGTTCTAGCATTTTGAACTCTTTCCTGCACTTACAGGATTTTATTTCAGCAACATAATGAATTTTGCCCTACCAGTTTTTAACTTATTTTTCTGGCTGTAGAGTAACATTCTGCAGCTTTAGCTAAAAACACTGTAAATGAGAGAAAACTGTAAAA